AAACAGTTATGTTTATGGTTTATTCCAACCCCAAAGATAACTGGGTCTTGCACATGCTAAGTAAGATTTTACCCTTGAGCTATTCTCCCAGCCCCAGTCCTGTGCTTTTAATGTTTCCATGAAATTTCAACTTAAGGGGTTTTAAAATAGTTTCTGAGATTAGTCCCTCCTCAAGCAGCAAATAGTATTCGAAACAGTATTTTCTATTTTTGTTTTGGAAAATCATTTTAAATATTTGAAGAAAATATAATTTGTCAACATTCTTCCCCTTCACTTCATTTTCCGAACCTCTCCACGTAACCAAAAGAGAATTCAACACATACGCCTCTCACCTCTAACAGTTCATCTCCAATTCGCATTCGTCCGTCCATTGCAGCGGGTCCTTCTGGGTTAATTCCTACTATAAATATGCTCATCCGTGTCCTGTCTTTATTGCCGGCAAGGCTGAGTCCCAGCCCATTCTTATCCTTTTCAAGTTCAATAATGTGCAGTTCTCCAGGTAGGTCTGCATACCTTTGCCTGATTTTTTCTGTAAGGGGGAAAAAAAGTAAGTTAAAAAATTAAATAGAGCCGTTGACTATTATGGAGACACCAGCATTTCCCTCATGTACTCCTCTCCAAGGGTCACTCTTTTAGAATGAAGTAATTAAGGGTAGTGCTTAGTTTGGATCTGAAATGACCCCCAGAGGCCCATAGGTTAAAGGCTCGGTTCCCAACTAGTAGCACTACCAATAGGTGGTGGAATCTTTGAGAGGTGGGGCCTTGTTTGTGGAAGTTAGGTCATTGGGGGCAGCCCCTGGAAGGGGAAATTGGGACCCAAGTCCCTGCCTCTCTCTCTTTTATTTCCTGGTCACATTAGGCGAGCAAAACCTCCACTATGTGTTCCCTTCATGATACATTGTGCTGCTACAGGCTTAAAGCAAGGGGCCAAGTGACCATGGACTGAAACCTCTGAAGCTTTGAGCCAAAATAAAAATTTCCTCCTTCTAAGTTGATTACCTCGGGTATTTTGTCTAATCAGTTAGCATGGCCTAAGAAGTTCAGCTCAACCATAAAATTCTCATGTTGTTCTGGTTCATACTGGCCTAGACTTTTCCATGGATGGATTTCTTATTTAAGATGGTTAATACACTGAGGATTCTAGCCTCCTCATTGCCTCCAAATAGGGGGAAACAAAGGCTATTTCCTGAGCAAGCAAGTAAAATGTTGGGTCTTGAAGACACAATGCTTCCTCAGTCATGGCTTCTACTTCATGCATTCATGGTCCAGCAGGAAAGAAAGTCAACAATTTATTCTAAAATACACTGAAAACATATTTACTCTAAAATATATTCTTGGCATAATGAATCCCACTATTATATATCATGACAAAACAATAAAAATTAAAAAAATACATATATTCTTTATACAAAGGGTACAAAATAACATTGGGTTAGGTGAACAAAAACAAGGGAATTAGGGATGTTGGTTTTGCTGTTGGATCTAAACACAATCCACAAATCTCACACTTCCTCAGTATCCACAAATCTATATATTGTTTTATCTTTACTTCTCTGACTCTAAAATGGGCATGATAATACTTGATTCCTGGATGTTGGGGAAAATTAAATAAAGTACACGCTGAAGGACTTAACTGTCCACAGTTGGCAAGTGTTCCTTTTTCTCATCTCGTGTCTTACCCTACTACCTCTCTCTCCTTACCTACATTTTAGGATTTGGCCTGCTGCATCTCCCCTGTGCTGGTTCAGTGCAACAAGCCACACTACAGGACCTGCTTAAGACAGGTCTTGCGGCCCATGCTACTCGGCTCAGGCTGGGTGTGTCCCTGAGCCTTGAGACTACGTAAATACTGAGGTTTGCAGCCACAGTCTCATCTGCTGCATAACAAATTGCTAGATTCCAACCTTCCTGGAACTTTCTATGTTCAGACGAATGCTTCACTTATATCATGGTGACCCTCTAAAGAGGGAACCTTGCTAATTAAAAGCTTAAATCAAATAATTAGTCTTAAGGTAGAGGAGAAAGGAAGACAGCCTCCTCCATTGTATCATTTTATCAACCTTAACAAACATGGTTTTATAAGCAAGTAGATAAACTTAAATCTGTAAAAACAATTCTATGCATAGATTTATAATACAAGAACTAGCATAAGAGGCTGCTTATTTAAGATAGAGATTATATCCGTCTGCTTTAGAAGGATTTTGAAGAGAAAGAACTTGCAAGGACAGCTTGTTAATAAGAAACATGTAGCAAAATACAGTAAAACAAAGGACTTGTAATGTCATAAAATTGTCCTCTACATAGGAAAAACATTAAGTTGTATTCACAGTGAGGTAAATTACCCCAACACATTTTTGTTTTTCAGCTACCAAGAACAAGATGCTAGCTGGGAACTTTAGTGAACAAAGATCTACATTATCCTCAAGATCTTTGCACAGCGCCAATAACACAACAGATATTAAACAACCTCAATTACTTAAATGAAAGGTCTGACTACCACAATTCCTGGGCACAGAGAAAAATTAATTTATTAGTGAATGAAGTTAGTGAATAAATACTACATCAATTGTGGTAGTGATAATTGCTTTTAGAATTCAAAGACTAATATGGCTTTAAAAGATTTCTTGAAAGACTAAGAATTTGAGCACGAGAAGACTCTTGGTGGGTGAGACAGCAAGAGAAAAAGCACATGAGCAGGTGGGGTGAGGAGGGAATGAGGCGGCTCTGGTGGGCTACAAATTGGAATCTCTTTGGGTTAGTGGTGGGTGATAAGAAATAAGACTGAAAGGTAAAAAGGTTAATCGATAGATTGTTTCCAGCAATAATACTGCAGTTTAGGGGTTGTGCACAGGTGCTTTGGGGTAGAGATGGGCCTTGAGAAAGATTTGATTAAAGACCATTTCCCCAGAGCACTTACACTTGGCTGCTTTGTTTATTGGAGTTAAAGGGCAAACTGGTTAAGGAATAATATCAAAGCTAAGAAAAGACCATGAGACAAGCATTTTAACACACCCCTTTCGGAAAATAAGAAGGTAGAAAAATGTTTCTAAGATACTGAAGACTTTAATAAGACAACAAGCTCAAGATGACAGATAAAAGAATTCTACAATTTAGACACACAAAATGCATTTTGGAAAACCACACAAAGAACAATTATAGAAATGGACTGTGTTATTTGGCCATAAAAGAAATTTCAGTAACTCTGAAAGAATCAGTATCAGAGAGATTTCTGTTCTTGGAATATGGGACAATAAAACCCAAACACTACAAGTTAGTAACAAAAAAGATAAGTTTAGAAATAAATTAATATTAGTAAAAAGTCCAAGATATAAGAAGGAAATTGAGAAATACAGTATTCACAATTGAAAAAAAAATTCTAGATATCAAACCTTTGAGAAAGACAATACACAACACAGAAGGCTATTCACAATTTTGAATCATTCATCACAAAACAAGAAAAATGTAAGAAATGATAAGTTCAGCATTATACCCAAGAAGTTGGAAAAAGAACAGCAGAGGAATTACAAAGAAAAAAAAGGAAAGAAAACAGCAAAGAGAATCTATTAATCATAATAGCAATTATCAATTTTTTTGTAATCTAACTTTGGAACATAACGTGAAGAATGGTATCCCAGGAATTCAAAGAGTTAAAAAATCGGGACACTTTTTCAAGAAAAATTACCATATTAGTAAACTAAAGGAGAAAGTTCAAAGATTATACCAACAAATGCAGAAAACCATTGGATTACCTACTCCTATTTAAGATTCAAAATGAAACTTTTCACAAAACAGTATAGAAAGGTACTTTTTGCATTTAAATTTACAGATAGGAAATAAAACACAGCAAGATACTTTCAGTAATTTAAACCAACAAAATTAATATGCAGGGAAGTTCTACAGATAAAGCTTAAAAAGATGCAAACTCAACAGAAATCTGGCCAAAGCATTCATACTCAAAAGTTTCATAGATATGTAAAGAAATGCTCATATTTATTAGTAAGTTCAGAAGTGCAGATTAAAATGAAATATCAAAATATTAAGTGAGACAGTAAGTAAATGAGATATTAAAATGAGATATGTCAGACTGGCAAATATGAAAACTGGATTATTAAGACTTAGAGGAGGCAGAAAGATATGCACGGTGGCTGGGAGTGATGATTTAGTGTCTATGCTTCAGTTATGTCGAGGTTTTAAACATCCTAAGTCGACAAAGCTCCCTCTTCTTCTTAAATTTGTCTATCTTGTGGAAAATTGAGACTTAGGAAAGTGAGTAAAGCTTCCTCCATGTTGATTTGAAAAAAAGCTACACAGCCCCTTGGGAAGCAGGAGGACCATTCTCCCATAGGTTCTCTTCTCTAAGTGATGCATGCTGAGGAGTCCCCCACACTTCTGCAAAAAGTGCAAAGAAACACAACCGGATTGAGTGCTGTCCCAAGGGAAGTAAGCCAGAGAGGCAGCTTTAAAACCATGTGATAGTCAAGTGTGGAATCAAAATTCTTTCAGTAGCTAGTTAGGGAAGATGAAAAAGTTCTGGGGCTGGATGGCAGGGATGGTTGCACCATGTGAATGAACTCAAGGGCACTGAAAGATACAGTTAAAATGAAAATTTTTAAATGTGTATTTTACCATAACAGGGGTTGGGGGAAGCCTGATATTAAAATACCCTCAAAAAAACTTGGTACCTTTATTTATATCTCTTCAAGGGATAGAGTTAGAGATTTATCCTCACTGTGAAACCACAGCTTTATTTTTCTGGTCAATGTTTTTAATGACACTATTATGATCCCATTTATTCAATGAACGATTATTTGCTGAATTCAAATTCATGGCAAGCTTGTGAAACACAGGGACTAATAACTAAATTTGTTTTCTAGGACCTCAAAAACTATCAGCAGGGACAAGTGTACATAGGACTAACTCTAATTTGTAGAGATGAGAGCAATGAGAAAAATGCCAATAGTTGAAGACACCCATCCATTTCAGTGAATCATCAGGAAAACCAACTGATGTCTGCAAACTGCCTGAATATTAGATACTGTGGCCAAATTGCAATCTGTTGGTCAGCTATATCTTGTGATGCACAACACCAAAGCCTCATTAACATTTCCACAATTCTGCATCTGGCTTGTTCCAGTGTCATTTTCCTAAATGCTAACAAATGAGTTGTTTGGCTTTCCTTAACTTCATTTTATTGGTTTTTTCCCCTCATCTTCTGTAGGAAATGAGGTAAGCTAAATGAATAGAAACTCAGAAAAAAAAAAAGCAAACCCTGGAACATTAAAGATGAGCATATTTGCATAGTTATGAAATTTTACTAACAATATATGGAGGACTTGCTAAGTTGCAGAAACTATGCCAATATCTTTCAATTAATTTTCTTTCCTTTAAAAACCATCTTACCAGGTAAGATCAATCCAATCTGCATTCCAGATGTGGGACGTAAGGCTGATGTTGAATCACTTGCCAAAAGTCCCTACATAGTCATTGATACAATAATGATGCAAACCCAGTTCTTTGCATTTGTTTTCA